TGTCGGGTTGCTGACCTCCCTCCCACCCCTGCAGGCGTCTGGCCGAGTCTGTCAGCGGCGGGTGTCGGGCTGTTGACCTCCCTCCCACCCGCTGCAGGCTCTGGCCGAGTCTGTTATCGCCGGGTGCCGGGCTGTTGACCTCCCTCCCACCCCTGCAGGCGTCTGGCCGAGTCTGTCAGCGCCGGGTGCCGGGTTGCTGACCTCCCTCCCACCCCTGCAGGCGTCTGGCCGAGTCTGTCAGCGCCGGGTGTCGGGTTGCTGACCTCCCTCCCACCCCTGCAGGCGTCTGGCCGAGTCTGTCAGCGCCGGGTGCCGGGTTGCTGACCTCCCTCCCACCCCTGCAGGCGTCTGGCCGAGTCTGTCAGCGCCGGGTGTCGGGCTGCTGACCTCCCTCCCACCCCTGCAGGCGTCTGGCCGAGTCTGTCGCCGCCGGGTGCCGGGTGCACGGCGCTGTCGGGCCGCTGAGGCCGGTCGGGCTGTGCGCCGGCGGAGCGCTGCTGCCCCCGGTCGGCGCGCGCCTCTCGGGCGCCACCTGCACGCCCGACGTGCACCGGGTCAGCTGGTGTGTCAGCTTCATCTCGGAGAACACGCGGGTCATGGAGGACCAGCAGCTGGTGGGTACCGAGCTCAGCAGACTGCGCCGGGGTCCGCTGTATGTAACATGAGCGAGTGGGTGAGAGGACGGCTCACTTTCCATAGTAAAAGACAATTGAATTCATCAATCTATTTAAGCTTTGCGTATTCCAGGGATAGTTGTACCTATGTCTCTGTGTTCGGTCGCAGGCCTCAGTACCTAGAGAGGGTCAAGGGGTCTACAGTTTTCAGAGGGACTCGTCTTAGAAACATTGCTGAAACGCACCACCGACTCCTGCAGCCCGGCCGTCCGGCCCGTCTCGATAACCCCGCCGGTGTGACTGGGTTGCGTCGCCGACAGGTGCGCGAGGACTGGAAGTACATGGCCATGGTGCTGGACCGGCTGTTCCTCTGGGTGTTTCTACTGGCCGTGGTGCTCGGCACCGCCACCATCATCCTGCAGGCGCCCTCTCTGTACGACGACCGAACGGCGCTAGACCAGCGCTACTCGGAGCTGCGACGGCACCGCCGCTGAGGGCGCGGCGGCGACTGCACACACTGCAGCCTCCGCGCCGGCCGACAGAGGGCAGCGCGGCGCACCGGCCCGGGCCGACCGGGCCCGCAGCTGCGGAACAAGCAATACGGGAACTGACTGGTAGTGTTGTAGAGTATACCTAACCCTGCAATAGGAGGGACGTTTATAAGATTTGTGATTTAAATAGACCACCATACCTACCCCTATTTGAACCAACTGATGTAGAGAGAGAGAGAGAGAGAGAGAGAGAGAGAGAGAGAGAGAGAGAGAGAGAGAGAGGCGTTAGCGCTGCCAAACTGGCGCTAAGTGCATGGAACAGCGAATGCTCTCATCGCTGTTCAATAATACTTCACGGAGGCGAATGTTTCTAGCGTTGATTACTGAAAGCAAATATGCTTGTAATTGCGTGGTTAGTTAGACTAGCTGACATTTATATGACTCGTACGTTTAGTGAACGGTGCTGAACAACCGCATCAAGGCCTAGGTATAGGGGAGAGTGGTGCAGGAGGCCCCCCCTTAAGCTCAGTTACTATTTTTAGACAACTGATAATATTTAAGCGCTAACGTGTGCATGCGCTGTGAGCATGCATCATTTTCCCATACATATTTGCATTCAAAATGAATCTAGGGGGTACACAAACCGTAAACTTTAACATTTTGGAAAAAGTTGCAAAAGGGCCTCTTACACTATGGGTATGGTAAGACGCCCCCCCCCCCCCCCTCGGGCGTTTTAAAAGTCAAGTCGACTTGTAAAAGACGCTTTGCGAACACAGCTGCAAGGCCTTTTATTTCGAAAAGCTAAGCAAATACGGTGTTATCGAAACCAATAACACTTCCAAAGCGCTCGAACAATGCGAAAACTAGCACAACCAAACGCTGATGACCAACGAAAATTGTACCTATAACCTCTAAGAAAAGAAACAGAAAAAAGAAACAAAAACAAACTCCTTGAAAAAAGAATGCCACGCCTGCCGCAGGTGCAGGCGTTTTAGCATCGGGGCCGTTTTTTTTATCGGGGGGCGTTTTATCATCCTCGAAGGGAGGGCCTCTTAAAAAAATACAGTGTTTTAACGTCCACAATATTTATGGTTTATGAGACATTTGCAGCGCACCAGAACATGGTCTATTCTGAAGCTAACATGTGACAATTTCGATGAGAAAAGATTGCATTTGATAGCCATTGTTTTTTCAGATATATAAGGGTGATAAAGATGCATATATCTAGCAAGTAAAGGGGCAAAAACAGAAACAGGCTTACCAAAAGTCGCTGCGACGCACCTGATACCTCAGGTTTCGTGAGTTGTTGTTTCAAGAGGGCTTCTGCTTTACAAGAACATTAAAAAATAAATAACATTATTGGTTTGGTAAAAAAAGCGATGGGGCCTCTTACCGACCCTGGGCGTCTTACACGGATCTCCCCTACAACAGTGAGGAGCATACCTAGGAAGGTACTTCCCAAACTTCCATGAGAATCCTGCGTTATATAATATATATATTAACACATGGTTTCCCGTGTGTAAATGGTTTTAACGCACGACGTGGATGGATTGGAGCACGCGTGTGTTAATGCACGAGTGAAACGAGTGCATTAACGCACAAGTGCTCCATTCCATCCACGAGTGCGTTAAAACCATTTATGCACGGAAACCATGTGTTAAACTAATTAATACATGCTTAACGGTGCGAATTTAAATCAAAATTAAACTTAGTTCAAGACACTAAAAGGGCCTTTTATGGGAATTCTTAGAATAAAGTCAATGACCCTTCCAAAAAGTTTCAGTCGAGAAATTCATCAATGCACGCGCGTGCACCAATTTAAATTGGTGCACGGCTACCTTCGAATTAATGCACGGTTAATCTCCAGTGAACGCACCGTAAAGTATGTATTAATACTTATTAATACTTACCAACTGGCAACTGTTGTGCATGGGTAGCTTTGAAAAATGTTCTTATACGATACAGAACAGAAAATGACCACCGGCCCACCTCATTCTTTGCAGTGTAGGTATGTGGCCATCGATCGTCGCCTCTCGTCAGTTTATAAGAGCTTATAACCCATTCCTAAAGTGCTTTTCCAACCACATTGTGAAACCATTATTCGAATCAGCGTGTAAAATAGAAATCGATGCACCGGAAGACCAACTTATTGCTGAACCTCATTGCGTTTAGCTGGCTTAGCTTAACCCGCGCCCCGTAGGGGGGGGGGCGAAACGGCCCCCCCTGACCTTTTCGGTCGATATCTCCTAAACGGCTGGAGATATCGCCACCAAACTTTCAGGACCCCTCCGGGCATCAGTTTTACACATTGTTACCAAAAAATTTTCCAGAGGCTGTGATAGGTTGGCCACAAATGACGTCAGAGTGACGTCATGTTCTGTCATTTTCGACCGAAAAAAGACCTTCGCGAGAAGACCTGTCAGGCCTACAGCTTTGAAGATACAGAAAAATGATCAAGACGTAAAAGGTGTAGAATTGACAGGGCTAAAAAACTGCCAAAGAGTTTTGATCCCCAAAAATCAAAAAAGCATTTTTTTGGATATATTAGCCAAAAAATCCAAAAAGTTTTTTGATTTTCGAAAAAAACGGAATATATGTGATGGTACCTACCGTCTTCTATCTACATACCAAATTTCAGATCGATACCTCGTTTTTTGGCCAAGTTATAGCGAAAAAACTGTTCAAAAATGATGACGTCAAATTTTCAAACTCAATTTTTGGCAATTCTAGAACTCGTAGAGCAGAACAAAGACCACCATTAGACTCCCCGTGACGAGCTGCATCGAATGGATACCCATTTTATGCAAAAATATCAACTTTGAAATTTGACCTAATTTGACCTGACCTTGACCTGACCTTCACCAAAACGTGACCTAGGCTGGCCCCAAAGGCTGCCTAACCCACATAATCGCATTTGTCATGTAAAATGGACCATAAAACATGTATCACACGACACATTCATATTGTGACCCCCGGTGACCTGACCTCGCTGTGACCTGACCTGGTATCAGTGACCTCAGATAGCAAAGTATGTGTTTGACGAACAATATACCATCGATGGTTTTCAATAAATTACCAATTTACTCGATTTCACAGCACATTTCTTGAATTGCCTGTGAACGGTGAAAATCTGACCTTTGACCTGACCTGTGACGTCATCGGTTTGACCTAGGTCAATGAAATTTGGTCACAAGGTAGTTCCCGGGTAGGGCTATCAAACGCCGTTTGAATTTTGAAAATCGGCCGGTAACTTTCCGAGATCTTAGGGGGGGCCGAAACGCCCCCCCCCCCCCCTACGGGTGGTAGGGTCCGCCGGTAGCCCTACGGGGCGCGGGTTAATAGTTAAAATTTAAATTTCTTATTTGAAAACTTGCATAAGAATAAGATGTGATAGCGACGATGTCGGAAAGCAGCCCCACACATGAGAAGATATAGCCAGATTGCATTTCGATGATAGGTGCATTGAGCAATAAATAAAGTGGTGCGCTTTCCAAAGGTCTTTACCAAGTTCATGTCAATGATAAGCTCAAAAGTAGTTCCTTCCAGTTACCTAAAATCTGTAGTTTATCCTGAAACTGCCTGACCATTGCTCAGACTTAGTCGTAGGCGTTTATGACATTGAAGGTAAAGGTAGTTACATCTAGATATGTGTTGTTATTCGTATCAACCTAAAATGATGTGTTTATCTCATTTAGTCGCTCCCAGAAACTGGATGATGGCGTCAAACGGCGAGAGTGATCACCATGTAGACCGTTTTGTTGCATGCACTTTCAGCATCAATCCAGATAGATTTGACTTTGTGGTTTATTTCTTGCGAACTGACAGATATAATCTTTCAATTTATATCGATTTTCGATAGCTCCTGGTCTGTCTGGGCTGGAAATAAACAATCGGAAACATGGGAATTTCGTGTTTTATTGTCCAGAATAATAATATTTACAGATTTGTTTTATTATTCTCAACATCATGAGCAAACAACGAAACGGGGAAAACAACCACGCATAGTGTACGTAACAATATTTACGAACAAAGTCTCCTATTCGACACGTAATTTCCTCAAGATTTGTAAAAAAGACACGAAGTTTCAACTGCATTATGCTCAACAAATAAATGAGCAATGCATATATTGATGGCTTTGGTCTGATAAAATAATACAATACAGCGGTATTTATCTAACAGCAATGAAAGTGCCTTTCATCACTGCAAAATAACGAATACGGGAAAACAGAGGCGTACACAGCGACTGTAGAAGAGCGGCTAGTCAGAGACCGTAAAACGTCAGGTCGACAACTGTTCATAAACCATCGCCAACAACAATGATTGCTTATCAAAGGTCTTCCCATGTCACCACCTCAGCCGAATCGCCGCGCCGATTTGGAAGCGGTAGCGGTCGCCTCTAAGTTCTGCTGAGCCTGTAAGTTCCGACCTGCGTTCGGAAAGATACGTTCTGAGACTCCGCCCGACACAGAGACGACGCCAGCTCTGTGAAAACCTGGCAACAAGATCTACATTCATTGAGCAGTAACAGCACCGCGCAGACGTCGATCCGTGGGGGAAAACGCACGCCGCGGAGATAGGAGCACCATGAATGAAGTGACACACTCATTCGGGAAATGTTCACAAGGGCTGCTGACAATGATTCGTTAAAAACGTTAGGCAGTACAACGCCTATATGTACTTGCTACCATATGCAAGAGCTACAAGACCTCAGTTCTTCAAAACATCGATCAACGTTCAAACGGCCAACCAGCTTCCTTTTATAACTTACGCTTGTACCATGCTTGATCGTCCTCGTCAATGTGGAACTCACATTCATTAGCACCGACAAAATGCGGCATACAGCTGCGGTAACCAGTGTTCCTCACCCCGGCTACTGCCGCACCCTTCCTACCTGAGTTCCACACACCACTGCACCCACACCGCGGCTGCGGACGGCGCCTTTGAGGAGCAGTTCCCTCCAGCGGGCGCCACCGGAGCAGGTACCGCCACTGTCCAGGGTCCCGGCGGTCACCAGAGTCCCACTGAGGCCGCTGCAGGTCCGCCCGGGCCGCGGTCTGAGCCGCTGCCGTCCCGAGCTGCCGCTGCTGCTGGCGTGCCGGCCCCGACACGCCAATACGACTCCGCTCTGTCCGGTAGCGGAGTCGCTGCCGCTGCGCCGGGCCCCGACACGCCCCCTCAGCTCAGCTCAGCTCTGGCTATTAGCCGACACGCTGACGCTGCTGCGGGCTGACAATCTCCGTGTACATGACGTCGATCGGCCGCCGGTCGTCGTACAGTGTCGGCGCCTGCAGGATGATGCCGGCCGTCCCCACCAGTACCGCCAGCGTGAAGATCCAGAGGAACAGCCGGTCCAGCACCATGGCTACGTACTTCCAGTCCTCGCGTACCTATCCGGGACGTCAGCGGCGGTCAGGTCAGTGCAGGGGGGGGGGGGGGTCAGACAGATGTCACAATGGCCCGTGGCGGGCTGTGAGTGAAACGGTCTTTCTGAGATAATGCTGTCAAGGTTTTCATTGACCTGGAATACATAGATAGCTTGACCTCTCGTTACAGTGCACCACCACTCTGACACGAATAACGAACAGTGAATCATGCATACTTCAACAAACACACACAAAAAAGTCATCTGGCTGCTGCCTCCGTCTCCTGTCCGAAGAGAAATGAAAAGTCATTGCCCAGCGTTGTCCACTCAGACCCGCGGGGCGCCACCTACCCTGGTGGTGTCCTGCTCCCGCCGGGTGCTCTCGGCGATGAATTTGACGCCCTCGAAGGCGCGGTAGACCTCAGAGCAGTGGCCGAGCTCGCACGGCCGCGCCTTGTGGCAGCCGAACTCGTCGTCTACGGAGCTCGGGTTGCCGTGTATTCGGCACGGCGCGTTCAGTCCCAGCGCGTCCACCTCGTTCCTGCGGGAAACAGCCATCGCTGCTGGTCAGACCGGTGACACGGGCAGGTCTGTGATATTCACTAACCTTGAACATCGCTTACAGTTCTCCGTAAATCATGACCGTTTCATCCGTTTAAACATCTGGAGCTCAAGCGATAAAACAAACTGAACCAGAATTATGCAGCATTGTTAAAAATTTTGAAACACATTTCTATCAAGCAACGATATTCAAGTCGTATTTCATGTCAAAACAAACTTTTTAATTTAATCAATCTATTTATTTTATTTCATTTATTTATTCTATAATAATAAATTGGCGCGAAAATTATACCATTCAAGATAATAATAGATTAAATAAAATATTAATTTTATTTATTTTGTTCTATTTATTCAATTTATTTATTTTATTTTATTGAACCATTGTCAAGGAAAAAGAAACTGTCATATTACTGCCCAGCAACAAAAAGACAAATAGCCTGAAATACAATCGACTTTTTACATCATGGTATATAGGTACTAACGCTTTGCCTAGTTGCAATTAACAGTTGCATAACAACATATGTCATGATTCAAGACATCACTAGAACACACGTTGAAAGTTAACCCGCGCCCTGCTGGGGGGGGGGGGTGTTTGAACACCCCCCTTGTGGTTTTTCGCGAATATCTCAAAAACGGCGGCGCGGAGCGCCGCCGTTTTTGGTACACCTTATCATACATCAATTCTACACATGTTGTGAAAATTTCAGACCAAGGTCATTCAAGGTCAGGTCACCAGGTCACTTGAAGTGACCTCACCTCATAAAAAGTTTCAATGTCTGTCATAGCTACACCGAGTGACCGATCGCTTTGAAACTTTCAGCGATTGCTAAGAGCAATAGCATGTACAAAATGTATATCTCAGAATTTTGATATCGATGACCTAAGGTCAGGTCAATTTTGCGACCTCCCCATTATAAGTCAATGGGAGAAAATTGAAAAGCGTCTGTTTTGGACAAAAGACATTATAAACACTCCCAAACACCGAATTACAAGTGTTTTAGACACACTGAACATGAAAATGGTGTCTGTGACCCTTGTTTATGCCCTGAGGTCATCTTAGGTCACGAATGGTATCTAACAGTTTTTCGCAAATAACTTTTGATAGAGGCATGCTAGAGCGACGAAAACGCCTTAGATGTGTTCAGCTCGACGATACGGATCGACTGATATGCAACATGACCCTTTCCGGTCAGGTCATGACCTTGACCTGAGGTCAAATTTTCAAGTTGACCTTTCAAGGTCAACTTATAGTTCATTCGATGCGTCTTGACGAGAGGAACACAATGCCGGTAAAAGTAAGCTCGTACAAGGCTTGGGTCAAAAGTTATTGCAGAAAAACTGTTTCCGAAAAAAATCGGCTATTTTTGCAGTTTTTGCCCCCTGCAGGCAAAACCGTTGACGTTAGGTCAAATCTGAGAGAATTACTCAGAAAGGGCGTTAAAAGGGCTATCGAATGCGCTTTTCCGCGGCGCTGTAGCTCTATTGGTTCTCGAGTTATGCGTTAGCTTCTTGGAAATTTTCGACATTCGACCTGGAAATCGGCGAAATTTTGCCTTCAATGACCTCTGGTGACCTGACCTTTGACCTGACCAAAAAATTGACCGAAGTGACTTCGTCATTATTTTTGACGCTCTTTCGAACGCCGCCTTCCGCGTATCGCTACGTGGCCCAGGAGCCGAGTTACAAGGGGGGGTGTTTGAACACCCCCCCCCCCCCCAGCAGGGCGTGGAAATCCAGGACCTCCAGCCGGGCGCGGGTTAAGACAGTTTTCAACACGCAAACGTTTTACCAAATAGGTATATCCTCTGTGAGAAAACGTTTGATATGATGCTGCAGTTAGCTCAAAGTCGTATTGATAGCCAGCGGTTGACGGCTGCTCAATGTTTGCCGCCATCGCCGTTGTGAAATCCACGCCGGCCCATTCTTTCAGATTATTGTAACGATTCTCTCGGTGATTGCCAAAAGCCTTGCCACGTATCTAAGGGATACGGTCTTGAAGCCGCACGTGGCTGCAATGTCCATTTGTTTTAACATTCGCCATCAGCTTTGCGGTGATTACGAGCGAGCGAGCGCAGCGAGCGAAGCGAAGTCTTTTCAATATAACGGAAAAATCTCAGTATGAGCGGCCCGGCCCGGCCTGTAACGCTTTTGAGAGGCTTATATCTCAGCAACCGCTGGACCGATTGGCCTTCGGTCTTTTTTGCTGGGTAGCCCCATCCCTTCTACCCCGTAATTGACTACTTTTGATACATCTCAGTGACCGTCGTGGCACGTGCCACGTGAAAAGTCAAGGGTGTTCAAGCAGTTTTGCAAAAGTAATGATGTTGAGAGGCCCATATCTCAGCAGCGGCTTGAGCGATTGTCTTGCGGTAATTTTTATAGGGTAGTTGCATCCCTTCTACCAAAGGTCGGATACTCTTGATTTATGTGAGTGACCCCCACTGCACGTGCAAAATACAAAAAGAAGAGGTGCAAAATTTGTTCTCATTTCAGTAACTCGGTAATTACTGGGACGATTTCGCTGAAATTTGGCATACAGGTAGGCACCCACCAGGCAATGCATTCCCATGTGTTGCGGTTAGGGTGCTACTGCACGTGCGCACGTGCAGGGGGCGTTTCCAGATCTCGAGAACGGCTGGGCCGATTGCGCTCAAATTTGGTGCACGGTTGGGGACTGGTTAGTAGGGTGCCGTGCAAAAGTCATTTTGGACGCCGTTTGCACGTGCGCACGTGCAGACTGCCGCTTCCAGATCTCAGGAACGGCTGGGCCGATTGCGTTCAAATTTGGCACACCGCTATGGTTAGAAGGGTGCTTTGCACAAGCCCGTTGGAAGTACCCTCTCGCCCTTCCGCACGTGCAGGGCTCACTTTTTTTTTCTTCAAACATTTATTGACAAACCATACAAATATGACACAAGTAAATAATAATCGAGGGCTCTCACGCCCAACAAGGACAGTCTCTGTCATGGCTTCTGACACGAAACAGCCGGTTTCCCGTCTATGCTTACGAGCGCTCCAGGTTGAGACGTTTAAACCCGCAAACACCTGATATACATGATATACACCGACACAATAGGGCTTTCAAAACCCCCACAACGTGCGAGTAATATTTGGCGAGCGTACACGCTGGCATACAGTGTTGGCAATATACACAAATCGGACGCCACATTTCAACTGCATTTTGACTGGGCGGCGGCCGAATTATAAAAATATAGCTCGCCACCACCACGTGATGTGGTGTGGCCCGCCTGGCCAAGCCGCCCCGGTGTCCTTTCATGGACTAAAGAAACGCGGCGGGCCATCAGCCACCGCCCGCGCCGCCCGGCGAAGGGGTATCGCGGGCGGCGCCCCCTATCCACCGGCCGGACGTGCGAGCCGTCGACTTGTAGGGCCGGCGCCCCGCACGCCCGGCCGGCCGACCGGCCCCAGTCAAAGAGGCCGGTCCCGGGTTGGCCCGGATGGGTCTTGGGAGCGGTGGCTGATTTTTTTATTTTTTAAACAAACTAATCAACACAAAAAAAAAACGAAAAAGAAAGAAAGAGGGACTCGTCTGGTGCGTCAGCGGCGCAGACGGCGGCGGCCGCCGCAACGAGGGAAACCCCGGCGGCGAGACGGCGGCGGCCGGCCACAGCAGTGCACCAGCGCTCGCTGACCGCTACCCGCCCCCGCACCGGCGCCGGGGCACGCGGGCGCGCCTCCGCAGCGGACCGGCTCGCAGCATCGCGGTGACACAGGATGGGACTGAATGATGAGGCTGGGAGAAGGATAAGGATGATCGTAATCTCTTTTTGTTCGTGAATTGTCTATGTTCTTAGTTTGATATTGTGATTGAAGAAATGCTGGTGTGTATTTGCCTAGTACTTGGTAACTTTAATTGTTTACTAAATGCTGTACGTTTCCCCATTTCTTGTTGAATTTGTGTGTTGTGTTGGATAACCTAGCTGTGTATAATTCAATTTCAGCCTCCCATCGAAGTTTGTTTTTTAGAGAAGCTATGCTAGGGTGTGTCTCGTTATAACCTGCTTCGTATATTACCATTTTTGCTAGAGTTATGATTATTATTTCTATATCGCTAAGGTTTTCAAGGAAAAACCATGACGCTAGGTTTCCCAGATTTATTGCTAATGGCCTACCAAAAGCTGTTTTAATGGATGACACATACGACTGAGTTATCGGGCATTGCCAGTACATATGCAATATGGTTTCGCTTTCTTGTCTACAAAATGTACATGTGTCATCGTCTTTAATAGATATTATTTTTAAATATCTATTTGTTGTTATAATACGATTTGTTAGCTTGTAGTGAAATGTTTGCATTCGGGTTGAGTTTGTTGCTTCTAATACTTTTATGACACTGTTATTTTCAAAGTGTCCGACATCGCGCAACCATTTCTCTTTTTGTCTATTCAGTGTGTTCACTATTTCGCATTTCCTGCTTTCTACATATGTGCGATAAGCCATGCGAGGGAAATTTGGATGATTTAATATAAGATTCATTTTTGATGGTATGATGGGGCGACAAGTACCGACGTGTAACTCAGTGTCCGATACGTTGGGTAAGCTTCTTATCAAACTTGTATAACAAAGAAATGTCATTTTGATGTCATAAGTGGTTTCTAGCATATCCTTCGTGTACCAATTTCCAGTGGTTTCGTCGAAAAGATCCAAGAGAAATCTGATCCCCATACGGTCCCAGTCTCTGATAATTGATCCCTTAAATTTTGCATAATCTGAAAACCAAAGACTCTCCAAAAGAATTGTAGGCGTTTCTGGCTTATACACTGCATTGAATGAGCTAAATGCTTCGAGAACGTCTTTCCAAAAACGGTTATCTATTTGACTGGCAACTTTTTTAAGTTTTTTTGCTCCATATAAAGGAATGCTTTCAAAATGTGGTAAGTGGACTTTTAAGCACTGTTTCCATGCAGCGTTTGAAGTGATTAGTCTCTTGAGCCACGTCAATTTCATACTGTTCACAAA